TATCAAGGTACAAAGCGAGATCATCTACCAGATTGCTCTATAATCCAAATCTAATGAAGAACACCAAGAGAGCTCGTGGTGGCTGCTCCTTATGATAAATCTACTCTAATATTTTTGGCACACCCCTAACAAGAGGCTAAAAACAAGTATATATAGGNTTAGGGTNTTCNAGGGTTCAATTTAGGACAAAACANTCTTTTACGTCAAAACTGCACCAAATATTGGTCACGAGTGTCGGCCAAAAGTCGTGACCGGTACTGGGAGTTAAATGACCTCTCTTGTGTGCTGACATCGGCTGGAATATCGGTCCACGGTGCGGGCCGGTATTTGGTCCGATATCGGACTTGCTTCAGCTTCGAGGCAGTTTGACATATGTTCAGTAATTCGGGTGTATCTTCCTGCTCACAGCTCCAATTGAGATTATTCAAATTTCATTGTGAAGCTGACTCAAATATCTATCTTCCTACCAAGTTTTATCCAATTCCAAGTTGATTTGGTCCTCCTTTTACTGCTAAAATTCTGGCATATATATTTTATCCAATTTGGTAGAATGTTGTTTCTTGTGAATTCATGGTTCTTGATGGTGTCTTTGGCTTGTTAAAGTTGCTGTAGCTTGGTTTACACCTATTTTGGATCTTTTTTTATCTTTTTTGCTTGATTTCCCTGTTAAGACTCTAAAACTATAAATACGAGAAAAACTACCTTTAAAGGCGTAATACCGTAGATAAACGCGTAGAAACATAGTAAAATAGATAATAAAATGGATAAAATATGGAACATATCAAGAATTTACCCCCAATTTTTCTTGTTTTGCAGACATAGGTTCTTGTTTTATTTTTTTTGCACAAATAAACTCCTAAATTAAATTTAAAATTTGTTATCTTTTTAAAACATCAATCTAAAAACCTCAATTATTATTTTTTTGCTTAGGTCCCCCGAAATCTCAGGACCGGTCATGTTTAGAGGCATAGCTTTAGATCACTGAAGTTACATTTCAGAGAGGCATAACCAATTTAAACTCATCACAGTCTGAGTCTTGGAACATGCCACTTTTTTGTAATCACAATAAGAAGAAAATGAGAAGAGTTTGAGGCATAACCTCATACAACGGACGTTACAATATTTAGTTTCCGAGAGGGGAACCATACCAAACTAAGAAGAATCACTGGCTTCGATCACATCCTCCCATGTTGTCAACACTACAAGAAGAAAATGAGATGATTTTGATGCATACATAAAATGATGGAACTTGGAGCTTGTTTCAAAGAGGAATGCAAAACCTCGTTAAGACTCATTGTCTCGAAGAAGATCAAACAGATCACGCTCAAGGTACATAAGATAGATGTCTTGAAGTTGATCCTCTTCTAATATTGCCTCACAGTTTTCCTATATGACACCGAAAGTAAGAAAAAAACTTCAATGTTAAAACTGAAAGAAAAAGAAACACAAGAATAAATAGCATATGTTCTACAAGATAAGCAGTGAAATCTTTACCGTAGACATTATACATTTGAAGTGAAATACGTCCTTGCACTGATAGCATGAGTAAATCCGATAACTGTTGATGTATGATTCACAGAGAGAACAATTTTGCTCGCGAGAAGAGTATGTTTGTGTGAGAGTATGTTGATGTCGTTGGTTCTTCACATTGGATGGAAACCCAATACACTCTGCATGGGCGCTGAAGTCACAATCAATACAACCATAGAACGACACACCGCAAGGTCTAGCGCACACATTGCATGCTTGAGTCACCCTCAAAACATCTTTCCAAAAGTTATACAGATAGTGACTGTGAGGCTTGGTCTTTCTTGGTAATATCACTAGTTTGTTGCATTCAATATGGAAATTGACTTCACAAATGAAACAGCGATAGCCATACTTTGTAATATCTAGTTGGCAGGCGGTGCACTTGGATTCACTTACAAGTGAAATTGCTAGCTTGTGATCAGAATGAAGTAGATGACCGACTATTCCTCGTCTCCCAACTTCGATACACAGAGGATGACATATATCATCACACGTCACACATGATAGAGCTTTTCCGCACAACTTCTCATCACAAAGCGCACAAGCTGTAGGATATGACCTTGAGATGACAACATTAAACAAGCTATGTTGGTCCTGAATGCAAAGTCCTCCTACAAAAGCTCCAATGATTTTCTGCCCCATATGTAGTGCCCCAAGCATTTTAATACTCTTTAAGGCACAGCTGATGTCGATGATAAAATTGCATACGCGACAGAAGAGATTGAACCCTTCTATATCCTTTTTGCAAGACTTACAGCTCCTTCTTACCCATCCAAAGGAATTTGGCAAGAGGGTCAAAGAGTGGTTCAAATGAAACTGATGTCTTGATGGTCGCCCCAGCTCTGCACAGTAATCATGTGATTGGAAACTACATGTCTCACATTTACAAGGGTTATCATGTATTCTTCCATCACACATATTGCAGTTTGCTTCTTCCTCAAGCTCACTCATGTGCATCGTTCTCATCGCATGGATGTGATTGATGCCATTAACCTGGAGCATATAACATAAACTGTATATAGACGGGAGGGCGTCCAAAAACAAAGTTTACTCTAAATAAAAAGCCATACCAATAGTTTGTCTTCGGTTTCAAGGTCTTCTATATTTGTTGATATTGTATTGCTTTTGCTACAAGAGTACAACTCTTTCAAGTACAATGGGGAAGGCATTTCCTGTTGATTATGAGTAAGAGCAGTTCATCATTTTCGTCACTATAAGAAAAAAATTAAGAAGTAAAATGAACTATTAATTACCTCACGTAATATGCATTCAGTGTGGCCGAGAAAATCACATGCTTTGCAGGAATATGCAGGATGTTCCGAGTTAACTATCGTCTCACAAACACCACAATATTCCAAAAAGCTGTCCTCGGCTCTAAATCGTTTACGCTCGAGTTGATGGATGTGATAGGATTTGTTTACGACATATTTGGGTATCTCAAGACATTTGATATGAAACTTCAAATCACATATAACGCAATAGTAATATTGCACGTTATAGAAGACAGTTTCCATGCATATTTGACATGGCTCTTCGTTATTAACACCAGCGACACGATTATCTTCTACATAAAACAATCTATGTTCATGAGAGTTATGCATCAGACCTCGCAACAAGGCATCTGCACATCTCAGATGAAGGTATATCCCACATTCTAGGCAACCAAAGGGAGCACCAGCAAAACTGAATTTACAAGCATTACAAATTTTTCGACGATGAAAAGCTTGTATATAATCAAGGCGTTTGAGAGGGTGTGCGGGATGCACGGGATGTTGAATCTCAGTTGGAAGATCAAGGCAACGCTCGTGAAAGAACAATTGGCAATGAACACAGCCATAACATATAGCAGAGGGAGAAAGAGGAAGCTCACAAAGAAGACAAGAGCCTTTAGCGTTTGGTCCTGGTCTACATCTCCTAAACATGTGTTCATGGCTGTAATGAAGCATTTCTGTAGCTTCCCAACCCTTGACTATGCTCTTCTGGAGAGCACAATCCATATCAAGATAGATCTCACACTTCTTGCACTCGTAGTAGAAAGATCCGGAAGACATGTTTCCACATCCGATGCAGATCATGTATTTGGATTTTCGTTCATCGCCAATACAAAACTCTAGAGGGTGCTCCGGGTGAAGATGGTGCGACATTTTCAGGGGAAGGTCAGAGCAAGATTTACAAAGATCGAAATTACAAGGCTCACAAGCGAATTCGACAGGTTCATCTTTGAAACACATGTTGCAGATCCCATTTCCGACCATCTTCGGCAAGGTCAACGCGCATTCGTGGGAACCATGCTGGAGCTCTGCCATGGCGATGGGAGGAGCTTAGAAAGTCAACGAATAAAACAAAAACTCAAGATTAATTGGA